TCCCGACTTGAGAAGTCCGTTTATCCGCAAACTTCGTCAATTCACTATTGCCCTGAGGTAGCCCTTGACGGAACGTCGTGCCCCTGCACACTTGGACACACTCTTCTCGGTAGCTGACTCACCGATTGGGGAGGGCAGAGCCTAGCCTTCGACATGCCAGCACTGCAAACACCCACACATAATCGGACTTGTGGGAGTTGAATCAATCTCCTATCATAACGTGTGATCATTCATGAATGTGTTCGCCTATCTTACTCAGACGAATGATTCATCTATTCTGGTAATCGAACTGAATGCTCTGGTCTACTCCCAGAATGTGATCTCATTTCGATAGAATCGTTTGCTAAAATCAGGCGACTGTCAGAAATACAATGTTTCATTGAATCGATGCAGGTAAATTGGTTTGTGCTAGATGAGCTACTGTACTTTGCGAGTATGAACACACGCTTTTAATTATCTTGCAATGCAATATAATATGCCTTTTCTAGAATTAAACAGCGTTATTGCATGTAGAAAAGAGAAAAGAGACGTAGAATAAAACGGGAGAATCAACCGAGCGATAGGTAGGTTTTGCGGTTAAGCCAAACTGACACGACCTACTAGATCGAGATAGATAGAGAGAGAGAGATGGAAGGTACCAGTGCGGTAACCTGCCTGCTAGAGCCTAACCTACTGTGGTTGACTGGTTCACTCACTATTAACTAATTATCATTTTCAATAAAATGATTTACAAAAACTGAATGGAACACCAGATGACCCGAGACAAATTAACGAGGCCATATTTGCAATCGTGATCAATTACACAATTATAAGAACCACGGCTCTCGCAGTGATAGTGCATGCGTTTTGGATTGTGACAAGGTACCGACGTTGCGTGCGTCTCTACACACAGGCCCCTATCTGCGACCTCGACGTAGAAGCAGATACACTGATACATCTGCGACCTGGTCAATTTGAGCACGATCACAAACCACCAGTGATCTGAAAAATTACGTTGATCCGAATGCATGATGTCGAAGGTAGTTGTGGAGTTCGATAGTTTGGAAGAAGCTTTGTCTAATTACTGGAATTTTAATTTTTTCAGGAGAAACGATATCCTTTGGCCTTCTGAGTAGGGCCACAGTGAGGCTGACGCTGGTTGGCGTGTCACACAAGCGGTAGGAAGGAGAGTTGACGGCGAAAACATTTGATTCTTCAAACGGGACACTTTGAAATTGGCATCGAACGTAGCTGCACAAACCAACACAAGTATCGATCCGGCACAGACGTGTTGAGACTTGCAGCTGCCGTCTAAACCTATACTGGCCTCTACCACAGGCAGGTTCACGGTTTGCCTGCAGTACAAATAAAGCACCAATTAAACAAATCGTTGTCTGCCGTCTACCTGTTGGGGATCCACGATTCTCCAAGATTGTTTTCTGATGCTATTTACATTAATTCACTAACATTTGTTTTGTTATGCTTTCTATCAAGTCAAGGTCAACCCTGACTTGAATTAGTTTCGTTTTCGACATTGAACTCCGCACGTGGCTGGCGTGAACAAAGCTCTCTACACGAGCTCTGGTCTTGTTCTTGTATGATCCTGGGAAGGTCGGTTCTGGCTTCAGCAAGGGATCTGGTACCGATATTTGAGTGGTCTTCTCTTTGTTACGGGCAAACGTAACACTATCATAAAGCAGCAGGCTGAAAGGCGGGTTCTGCTCTATGCCTGGATTATAAAGAGTGACAGAGCGGATAACTTGGTGACCTGACAGCCACAAAAAAACTTGCTGAAAGTGGAGCTGGCAACACTGGCGAGCTGTTGAAACCCAAGGATCTAACAAATACTTGACTAAGTAACGTATTCTAAGGGTCATAAAATCCATAGCAGAGTGTCTGTAGACATATTTAGCTCCTTTTGCTGCTTCGTAGTTAACGACAACAGAACCTAACAACAAGGGAGATGGCAAGCAGACTACGACGACACGATTAGGCGAAAGTGCAACTGATTGTATTCATGCTGGGGATATTAACAGTCCCCAAGACGAATTAACTAACACTGAGGTGTGCGACTTCTAATCACGTGGTTCGGTTCGCGTGTTACATTGTTGTTGACGCAGACAACTCATATGTCAATGTTAACCAACCAACTCATCGATCTCCGATGGCCCAAGCATACGAAAGTAGGTGCATCTGAATATACACTCGACTTTTCCTGAGACAATAAAGCGCTCTGCGCGGCATCTGTCTCGTAACAATTCACCAACTGGCAGTAAAATTACTACTGCGGGAATCGATGCTTCAACCGTATCGATTTGGGTTTGCGGGGATCGTCTTAGACCTGTTGTGGGCACCAGAATGTGGTCTTGAACCACGCCGGGGCCGCTAAATTAACCCTGGCCCGATCATGCTTCCCTGACACTCGCGATGAAGAAAAAGATCGGAGAGGACGTGGACACAGTCGTTTACTTCAGACCTCAACCTCGTTGGTGTTGTTGTGTCGTGTGTGGGGTTTGCGCGTATGTATTCATACCCCAGATGCGCGAGTCATACGTGCGCTAACATCGAGACCTAGGTGTGAGGATAATCCAAGATATATTTTCGTACAAATGGGGGGAAGTTGAGTATCCGCGCGGCTGGTGACATGCTGCGAAAAGGGGAACCCTGTGTCGGGTGATGGAGCGAACGGATTAAAGATTGTGCATAAACACGATTCACAACAGGCCAGAAGCAGTCGACGGTCTAGTTGATACAACCAGATTTTCGTCACTCCAAATCCTGCAAATTTTGTCAAGATCTTCAGTTTTTTGACAAGTTTCCTAATTTAAGGCCCTTAGACACGGATAACACGTCCCAGTGGGTTTGGTGCAATGTATTTAATGCATAGTTAGGTACGAAGGGTTGTCTGTAGATATCCAAGTGACTAAATGTACAATACTGGCAACAAATACCACAAAGGTAGTTGTGTAAACACGGGCAAATGCTGCTGTTTTTAGGAAGGGGGGCCAACCAATCACCTAGGCGATCGATGAGCATCCATTGGGCTGCCAGCGCCGTCTGTCAGTTGATCCAGAGCATCAAAAGTGTCTCCAAAGGGCTGCAGCTGGTCCTGAAACCCAGACGAGCTCATTGAGCGCATTCTGCTGTCCTCACTCTCGTCCAGGTAGTTGTCTCTCTCCACCTCGTCTTCCTCGGCGCTGGTGTTGCCCCCCTCGTATCCGTAGTCCAGGGTGTAATCCGGCACCTCGATCGGCTTTGTCTTAAGCTGAGCGTTCAAAACCTGCTGGAAGCTGGTTGAGCGTGCGTCGCCTGGTGACGTGGTGCTAGTTCGCACGCCTGTGCCAGTCGTGTTGGTGCGCGATTTGGCTACTGATAAAGCAAAAATAGCAAGAAAATTGGACAGGTGTATTTATTCGCTCACATTACAGAATGTCAGCTTACACAAACCAATTTAGCAATATTTATTCGGTGAAATGCGTGATATTTCTGACAATCTGCCTCACTAGAACGCAAGAAAGGTCAAAATGAGACCATTTTCAGAAAAATTTCTAGAACTGATGACTCATTCGTCTAAGTACGATAAGTGAACGCATGCATGAATGATCACAAGTTATGATAGGAGAATGATTCAACTCCCACAAGTCCGATTATGTGTGGGTGTTTGCAGTGCTGGCATGTTAAAGGCTAGGCTCTGCCCTCCCCAATCGGTGAGTCAGCTACCGAGAAGAGTGTGTCCAAGTGTGCAGGGACACGACGTTCCGTCAAGGGCTACCTCAGGGCAATAGTGAATTGACGAAGTTTGCGGATAAACGGACTTCTCAAGTCGGGACGCAGGACACCCTCCGGACACTTGGATGTCACACGCGTCTCAGCTATTTGCAGTACTCGCACACGTCCTTCCGTAAGTGTGTGAACTGTGATGGTGATTGATGCCAGAAATTAAGATACGGCTGCAAGTGGGGTGTGTGGGAGCGTAGAAACGTGTTCTGGTATTGCTTAAAACCGGACATAGGGGATTCAAGTGCTGGTACAAATTAGCACATCTAGTTCGCTGTCCCAATCATCAAAACATGTGTGGATTTTAAAATTAAGCTACTTTTTTGATAACCCAGTATATCGTCGTGAAGTTTTACATTTTCGTATGCAACTACACGCTCTCTCTAGCGGATTATTCGCTGTTGCTGTTAATCGTGGCAGCCATGCATTAGATTTTTGAACAGAAGTGAATGACACGAGTAGGTTTTGCGTTCTGGTAAACTGTTGTCTTTTCAGACATTCCATGTCCGCTACCATTTCGATCACGGCAGCCGTGATGAAGTGCAACTGACCTCTGAAATGTTAATACCGCCTTGTTTCACATCAAAATCCGACACAAAGTTTAATTGCGCATACACGATTTTGTATAAATGGGTGCAATGTTTAAATAATTGATGCGAAAATCAAGATACAACTGCAAGTGGTGGTTGCGGAAGCGTTAAAGTATGTTTCATTATCATTCAAATTATGGTGCTGTTGAGATTTTCGTGCGGTTTGTTTTCAAAATTACGGTTGCATGCTTACAAAATGCCTGGTTGTGTGAAACCCCAAAAATCCAGCTCAGAATCCTATTTGATTCGCGCACGTCATCGAAACAATTTGGCGCGTTCTTGAGAAAGCGCCAAATTTTCACATCAAAACTAATTTTTCGACAACTCAACAATGGCGCACAAGTAGCCATAACTGTGTTTTTTTGTAGAAAAAAAAAGCATTATCTCTTTCAATAGTAACCTATGTTGTTTTGTGTCCAGCCAAAGTGTGCCTGAAATTTGCCGTTTCAGTAATTAAAATTAACTACGAGCTGCGCCAATAGAAATCTTTCCTGGTTGCTTTCATGCAAGCGATTGGCAAACAACTCGCATCAGTATTGATTTAAAACAAGGGTAGAATGACTGGTCACAGGAATCGTTTTAAATGACCCCAGGGAAATTAGATGTCCGCAAATATAGGGCGCAAAGCACGCATTCTTTACAAAAACCAGGCAATCGCTAAACAAAGCCAGTGGCCATGCAAAACCGAAAAGATGTGTAGTAGGAAACAATTAGAAGGACCTGTGGAATGGTTAGAAGTGTTTTGATGATAAAGAATGACAAGCCAATCAAGTTGCAGTCATTGGCAGCTTGGTGGCATTACAAGAAAATCACTCGTCAAGCTTGTACAACGTCAACTTGGATCGATTTGGAAGAAGACATTGCGGAATTGCTCGCTTGAAAGGAGCCACCAGTTAACGATAGCTAGAGGTATCTTGATGGTGTTTCTATTCCTGCCAACGCCTAATTTTACCACCGAACAAGACCATGAACCGGTTGTGCAACTGAGCACAACATTAACATGGCGTCTTGGTTTTCTGCACCACTGGATGAGGCGAAAGAATCTACTAACTCGGGAACAAGTAGGGTTTCCTTACGTCACTTTTCCTGAACAAAGAACGTCCGTCAGTGAGTGAGTGCATGTTACGTTTGCCCGTAACAAAGAGAAAGCCACTCAGATAACGGTAACAGATCCCTTGTTGACGCTAGAACCGACCTTCCCAAGCCAATACAAGAACAAGACCAGAGCTCGTGTAGAGAGGTTTAATCACGTCAGCCACGTGCGAGCGAGTCGTTAAAAGTGAACGTTAATTAGTGTATATGGTGCCAAAAACCAGCGATGAGCAATCTTGGGGAATCGTGGATCCCCAACAGTGCACGAACTGAAGAAAGACACTGAACAATGTTAATGCGTGCACCCCAACCCACATAGTAACGAAACCAACCTGTCAACGTCGTCGAGTCCAGAAGGTCGAAGAGAAATGTCGGCATACCCGCCCATGTCGAAGCTTAGATGAAAATGTTGAATTAACACACAAACACACACAAACACGCTGCCTGGTTTGGTAATCATTGGTAAAATGCCTAAGTCAGATGCCCAGTTACCTAAAATGCTTATGCCAAGAAGCAGGTGGGGCATTTTCAAGGTTGTTTACGTGAAGGAAGAGACGACAGAACCGGTCCTGTTGTCATGCTTGTGTGACAATGATTTGGCAGTTAGTAAAAGCGCAGGTAGTGGTGTGTGCGTAATTTTAAATTGTCCGAAAACGGTGAATGGTTATTGTGATCTACGAATAGGGGCGTTGTCTTGAGATGTCGATACACACAGACGACATCTCAAAAAACGACATTCTATGAAGTGACGGGATTCATGACAGTAACGCATAGTCGATGGACTATCTGCAACAGTCGAAGTATCTCTATTTAGCTGACTATGATTGTGTCCATAGTTTTTACCAGAACGATTACAAAGCAACTGCCTCTTCGAAAATGATTGACCAATGAGAAATCAGCTTGAGACGGCCCATGACGCGGATTGGATAACCGGGAATTGGAATCACAATCTTGGTGCTAATGTCGTCTGTGTTGATAACCTACAGTGCTGTTGTCCTGTTGCTTGTTGACGCAGCGCCTAGGTAACTCATGTCATTCCACCAATTCGCGTGTCCTCCAAATCCGTCGCAGTGTTCTCATTGGTCAAAAAGATGCATCTGATCATGCACGTGAATGTGTGTGTGAGAATCGCCAATGGACGTCTACGACTTGTTCGCACACAGACATAGCAACATCAACATCAAAAACGCATCTAAGTTGAGCCATCGAATGACCGTTCGTTTCTGAATGTCTGCGCAGCGCAACCAAGCATTAACAAATAGACCGCCTCGGTGTTATCACCTGCTACAACAGGTGAATGTCAATACCCTGGGTTGCTGACAGTGGACTTTGGACCCACAAACACGTCGCACCCTTCAGACACGGTAATCGTAAATCACAACACAGTCTTTAATCCGACTGATTCGAAAAACTTGGATTTACTTGAAATGAGAGGCATGTTTCAATACTTTGATGAAGTAACAGACGCGAAAGTGCAGCTCACCCAGCAAGAGCGATGGACACATCAACTTACGCGTCATACAAGGATGCTCTTTCAAGAAGTGTGTCCTTGTAATGGCTATATCGCATGATCATAACTTATTAGCCGAGTGAGCAGTAGACGGGAAAGGAACGGTGAATTAAGGCTTGTGGTGACTTACGTTGGGTCATCTGCGGTGGATGCTGGAAGGCCAGCCTGCCTTCGTCAAAACTGTGCGTATCGATTTCGTCTGAAGGTTAGAAACAGGAAAAAGAGATCAGATTTTAACACAAAAGGAGGGATGTTGTGTGTACACGTTGACAGTCTATTGACCTAACGAACAGTGTAAATATTATCAAAAAGACTTCAATGAAATCGTTCAAACCGAAGAATCCAGATTTGAGTTATTGCGATTGAAACGAGAAAGCAACTACTACGGTTGAAGTGGTGGTCCATTTCGATTTGCCGCCAGGTATCAACAGGGCGGCTTTTATTTCAAACGTTAAAACAAAAAATACACTAGCTTAAGCGGGTTAGTGAGAGGTGCAAATCGATTTTTCGTTGTCAGTAAAATCCGAATGAGTTTTTTTCCCTTAAATAACTTGTCGGCAAACGAGTACGTCCGGCTCTGATGGAAAACAAAGCCGATTCCGATGACTCACCTGCTTGTTCAAAGTAAGGCATAACATGTTCACGAAGATCTTTGTCTGGAGACAGTTGTGGTGGTGTTCGCTTCCTGTAACATCGCCACACCACAACGCCGATTATGAGTCCTACAAATGTTGGAGGAAATAAAGGATTAACGCCAACGAAAAATCCTGTTTTGACGTTTTAATCAATAGATGGCTAGACTAGGTGTCTGGGAGTTGATGCTCTAATCACCGGGTTTACGAAGATCAACCGCGAAACGAAGACACCTCAGACTCAGATCGAAATTCACACAGAAGGGAGTAGAGGTTGTACTACATCGAATCGAGTCCCAGTCATTTTTTACCAACGATTGCGATTGGCGTTACCTAGTTAGCGTTTGGAATAGGATGAGCCAGTTACGAGGTGATTCGGTGTACCAGATCTACGTGAATCAGTAAAAAATGGCTGCAAATTTCTACAAAAGGTCATTCTCTAGACGTTAAATCTATTCACATGAGTGACTGAAAAATTGTACATTTAGCTCAACGAGAAAAAGTTCCTGTGTTTTAGCACAGAAATGCCTTTCCTGGGTCTATCCGTGACATCCTTTGACTTGAGATCAGGAAACACAGCATCCACAACTGACTGACGTGCTAGAAAACCCTCCAGTCACTGAGATATTGATTGATGCTTTGAAAGTTGATTGTATACTCAAAGTGGTTTGTTGTGGGCCCCAGCATGTGGTCTTGAACCACACCGGGGCCACCGAATTAACGCTGGCCTGATTACGCTTCCCTGATACCCGCGATGAAGAAAAAGACCGGAGAGGACGTGGACACAACCGTTCACTTCAGAGCTCAACCAGGTTGGCGGCGTTGTGCCGTGGGTGGCTTGTGAGCGTGTGTATTTATACCTCAGATGCGTGAGTCATACATACGCCAACATCGAGACCTAGGTGTGGGGATAATCCAAAATAAATATTCGTGCGAATGAGGGAGGAGTTGAGGATCCGCGCGGCTGGCGACATGTTGCGAAAAGGGGAACCCTGTGTCGGAGGATGGAGGGACCGAATTAGGGAGTGTGTATAAGCACGATTCACGACATTTTCCTGTACACCCATCCAATAGCATACCTAGTTCGACCAACGTTGACAGACCTCGTAAGTGGAAACTCATTTTGATCTTAAAGGGTTCACTACGACTCGAGAGTTTACACGTTAGTGCCACTGATGCTGTAACTGGCAATTCACAACTTCCAACCAACCATGTGCCTTATTCCTTCCCCACTTCTCGGGATTCTCATTGGTTGGGAGGACACGCAGATACCCAACGACCTTGAATTCGCACAGGTGCAACAACAAATCAGCTGATTCGAGGAAGTTGAGAAGAAAATCTCATCTGCCTTGCTACTGGTCCTCTCTTTCTTACTTGGATTCCAGCGCAGTGTAACTGGGTCTCGATATCGGCATCCTAGATTTTCAGCCATCGTTGATTTAGAAGTGACGACGTGGTGAATCTTGTTAATTCAACGATGATTTAACCCAGTCGCCGCATTCTCTAGCACACTGATCCCGCCAATCACAGCGTGCCCGTCCGTCAAGTGGAACCGTCTGCTCAAACACCCCTGCGCATGTACCCACCAGAAATTCATTCCGTTCATCCAACCAATCAACAAATTCATGAGTCGTGCACGACTTTGAAAACACACGAAAACAGTACAACCAATAAAACGCGGTGTCTCCTGTGTGAGTCGGGACCACATGCCGGGGTCATCAACAACACCCTGAAAATATCATCGTCCTTTCATCATTGTTCAAGGAAATCGTGCGATGGAGACGATGGGTTTTGATTTGTGAACAGAGCGGACAATCCTCTAACAGAAGTTAGAGCTATTTTCAGAAGGCGATAATATCAATTGGTGAAAATGCCTTCAATTGAGAAGTCCTTCTGACTTTGACGGAACTGATGGTTATCTACTGCAGTTTGCCAAAATCAATAACGCAGTTACCATAGGCCAAGAGGTCGATAACTGGGACTTCACTACGAACATCACCCGATTAATCTGAAAAGTCAGCCCTCCCAGCAGGTCAGGTAAACATGCCAATCCCTATGCCCTGGTGAAAGTTAAATATGGTCTTGTGGGAGTGTGGAAATCCCAACAAGTTACTAATTTGTGCATTTTAACTTGGACTGAGCCAATAAGATTTGAGCTTGAGCTTGAAAAGTCAGAAACTACTACAAAAGACTCACCAAGGACGGCGAAAATAGCAATGACGATTCCCGTAAACGCGCCAACACTAAGCCCCGCTCGCATGACTTCTGCCTCACAGAACAATCCGAAGTGGGTGGTTGGACAGTCGCACTTGAATCCGCGACTATCTGTTGACGAGGGCTGACAGGTTCCGCCGTTGAGGCAGGGGAATAGTGAGCAGACGGCCAAGCAGAAGCACCTATTCGCCTCGCCTTGCACACAGTTTGATGGACATCTGAATGCAAGAGGAAAGAGCTCTGGTTATTCGATTGGGAATTAACCAAACCACTGTGATTCCTAAGAGCTAGTCGGCAAATATGGCTTTGCACAGACTCGTGTGCTGATTGGTTGGTTCGAACTAGCACGCAGCCCTCTCATTGGCTGAGCCACGCCCAAATGCCGCGTTGTCTTGGTAATTAACAATACAATACCATTGGTAGGGTAGGATGGCGTCACACAAGATGCGGGTTAAAAAAACAGGAAACAATAGGCCGAGACAATGAAATTTCGCTTTCAAGTCGAACACAGAAACGCACAGGCATTTGTAGCCATCTTGAGGCTTCCATGTTGGCACGCACGTCAGGTCGCCAGGACACGAAGCGTCGGCTGGACAGGCCGTTAGATCGGAACACGAGTCGAGGTTGTCGCCATAACCCTTCATGCTGACCACATGCCCGGCTGTGCCCGCAGCGGTGACTTCTGCCTGGGAGAGGGGATACCACGCACCGTTCACTCGGAGGTCGCGTAGACAAGTCGACCCTATGCTCGAGGATGCTGGCCGAACCTCCCCGTCAGCCAATGAGGGGGCGCCCGGCACAAGGTCACGTCTTGCACCAATCAGAACCTACAAGGTGGCCTTGATGACGTGGTTTTTTGTTTCAATGATGTCAGATCACAATTAACTAGGAACAAACCACCAACGGTGAATGGCCTACAAAGTCATCCCGTCTGCAACCCAAATGACCTTTGACATGTGACAGATAGATCCAACTTGCTAGCTGACCTTCTCAGAACACGAAGATCAATATGGCTACTCGTCTTGTTTGAATAACTGCCCTTTAAACCTAAAGTTGACCCAATTTTATTAAGGTAAGCGGTAATTTCATTAATGCCAGCACAATTGGCTCACAGCAACAACTCTATAAAGAGAGTGAAATCGTAATTAATGAATTTCACCTTTTTCCCGATGGACATTTTGAAGAAGTTGGAGGCTGTGTTGATAGGAAGGAAGGCTGAGTGGCCCTTTCCAGCCGCGCCGTCGATTTCGACGAAGATGGAGGAGAGCGACCTGTGGATGTGCACGTGGTGCCACGCGCCGTCGTTCAGTTGGCTGCGCGCGGGCGAGGCCGTGAGCGCGTTGAAGTCCCCCAGATTCAGGACCACCTCCAGCCGCGTGTTCGACAGTCGAACATCGAAGGAGGAGTTCCTGGAACACAACGGGGTGCCCGTTTGAACGATGCGAACGCACGTGGTGAAGGTAATTTTGAAACGTTACAAGGCATTTTGGATGAATCGCTTGTGGAGACCACCAGGCTAGCACAGTTAGCATTCTTGAACGGACGCAGTTTGTAAGGGGGAGCGAACACAATTCAATCGATTTATTCGTGAATGCACTGTTGTGGACCGACAGTCATCGCGCGTGAGTGCTGCGTGCATGCTTGCCCGACTGGATCAATGACTCACCCTCTTTGTAATTAGCTCTTGTTAACAGCCGCCTGTAACGCAAGCGTATCGATACGCACACAGAAGTTAGTTCCACGATTTTACTCGACTTGACTTGACTGTTGTGACGCAAATAAACGGTCATGCTCTCTGTCGACTCTTTTGTCAGGATGACAGAAACATGGCACCACCCGCAAATCGCCAGTTTGACTCAAGGCACAATCTGAAATCTCAATTAGGAAGTCTTGTCACATGTCTTGCTGCATTAGTTACAATCTCTAGCCAAATATTTGCACGAGATTTTGTCCTAGAGGCAGCGAAACCTTGTTGACGGTTAAAGAGATGTGGTGAATTATTGAATTTTGTCTAAAGCACATCTTGTTATCTACTCCGATGAAGTTTTCATCTGTTTAGTAAATATAATTGATAAAAACACGGAAAATCGCTCTGAACGATTGTGGTAGGACCACAATGTCTCCTTTTCGAAAAAGTGGGATTACGTGAGGACACACGGATCGATGAGTCGTTGGGTTTTATCAGGAAAAACTTTGTAAACTCAAGGGTGACCCTTCACAGAGGTAGACATGGGGTGATTAGGCGAGGGAATCTGGAGATTTCGACCAGAAAAGGTCGAAGGTCACATAACGCCTTGAGGCTGTCCAAACAAGTCCCAACCAATTAGCAGGCGATGATTTTCACACCAATCAAAAAAGGGTGACCCAGGGAGAGATGGCAGTATGATGCTGTTGGGGATCCACGCTAATCCAAAGATTGCTCATCGTTGGTACTTGGCATTACTTACACTGATTTCCTAACATGTGCTTTATTACGCTTTTCATCAGGTCAAGGTCAACCCCGACTTGAATTAGTGTACACTTTTGACAACTCACTCGCACGTGGCCGACGCTAGTAAACCTCTCTACACGAGTTCTGGTCCTGTGCTTGTATTAGCTTTTGAAAATCAGTTCTAGCGTCAACAAGGATTCTGCTACCGTTTTTGAGTGGTTTTCTCTTTGTTACGGGCAAACGGAACAAATTTGGCGACGCAGGTACGATGAGTGACAAGGGGGTGGAACAATTGCTCAAGCGGCTAGTGTCAATGCTTGCAGATCGTCAGTCGTCTCAGGCCGCTCCTGCCAGTAAGCCGTCACTTGACAGCCTCACAAACAGTATCTCGGAGTTCTCATATGATCCGGAGAACGGCGTATCGCATAACACCAAACTAGACTCTGCGAAATCGATAGTCGTCATCGGAGAAACTCATGGGTCGCAAATTTCATACAGTAGTTTTCGCTATGATTCCGCTATAAGACAACCGCCTGGAGCCTTCGAGTACGGAATCTACCAGTCCATTTGAGATTGAAACAGCCGTGTACGTTCAAGACCATCGACCAAGGCACGAAGCATGGATAGAAGGGACGATTGCACGCCGACACGGCAAGGTCATGTTCGACGTGACGGTCAAGGCATCGCAACAAGCTCCGATGGAGAAAAGGATCTGAGACACCAAATCGCCAGACCAGCGTCCCACAGGATGTACTTTTCGACACGTTCCAGCTGCCTACACCGGTAACAACTCTAGTGAAAACTAAGAGAGATCATCTAGCAGCAGACAGATCGTCACCCCCAAGGCAGAGTAGTAGAAAACGACGGAAATCAACACTACTCCAAGTCGACGCAAAGAAGAAGCGCTACTAGCTTTTCAAGGCGAAGAGGTGTTGGAGACCCACGATACCTCACGATCCCTCATCGTTTGTTTTTGGCACCATTTACACTAATCTCCTAAAATGTGTTTTATTACTCTTTTATCAGGGGATTAAAGCTCTCTACACGAGTTCTGGTCTTGTGCTTGTATTAGCGTGGGAAGGCTGGTGCTAGCGTCAACAAGGGATCTGGTACCGTTATTTGAGTGGTTTTTTCCTTGTTACGCTGCAAAAGATTTGGCGTTGTGCAGACAATGGGCCAGTAAAGAGTGCATTTTAGACTTATAAGTGTCATGTGAACATTACAAGCCCTGATTTTCAAACAGTCGACGCTGAAGAATGTGCAGCGGATCAACAGCGATCGCGCCTGAGTGAGCCCTTGTTACTGACATGACGGTGACAATGACTCATCCCCTTTTCATTGGTTACTGTTATTCGACGCCTGCCATTCGTTCACACACACACACTAAGACACGCTTGGCTGGCGTGACGCTAATAAACGGTCGTGTTCTCTGTCGCCCCTCTTTCCTCCATTCTCGGGTTTTTACGGCGCCACCAGAGTGAGTCTGGATCAGTTCAAAATTGACATAACGCACAGAACTTACTGGTAGTAGTTTGGCTCCGGACCACTGAGGTAGACAAGCGTTCCAGCAGCGCTCCTAGTTCGAAACCCGAATGACACTTCGGTGTGTGGTTGATCGATCCACTCGGTTTTGGCAGTGAGCTCGAGGTAACTAGGGGACGGACCGAGTTCGACTGAGTACGCGGAGGGACGGCATCCCAAGCCCTTCTCTTGGAATCCGGCGTTGCATTGGCACCTGGGAGAGCCGTTTACTTCCACACAAACGCCCTTTCAAGAGAAGTTGTAGATGTAAACGTGCGCACTTCATTTACAAACTTCGGGTAGTCGTGCAAAGTTGACGAGGGCTTACATTTGGTGCACAGACGTCCAGGCCTTTAGAATTCAAGCACACGCTTGGTCCAGGCAAGGCATTGCTACCGAGGTTGAACTGCGCCAAATTCCAGAGTTCGCCGTTGACAACGACTCGTCGAATGCTGCTTCCACTTGGAAGCGAGTTGGTGGTCAATTCGGCGGGGTAGAGGGCTTTCGACACGTCGGCATGCTTGCGACCACCAAGTTGAAGCGGCCACTGACCCACGTTGAGGGCACGTCGCGTGCCGACGTGGTAGGGCAGGCGGAAGAGACAGTCCTGGAGGTTGGGCGGCTTCTCTAGACCGTTCACTTGATCCAGTCCCTCACTCGACCGACAGGAGTCCAATGTCAGAATTACCTCTGCAGCTGCCTGTGGGAAAGCCACAAACCAATGAAAAGTGAGGGCTAGTCACAGGAACCATTCAGATTGCGGCAGACCTGTTCGGGCAGGCTTCCAGTCATATCGAAACGTTCAAACGTAAGAAGTACTTATGTTGGGATTTACAACTCTACTCGTGGAGATTTACCGTAAGACAAGGCCACAAGAATCAGCCAATGGGAGCTGATTTTGGACTACTAGCCAATGAAATCACGTTGATGCCATCTCACTTACCAACGTCTGGGTGAGAAGCAAATCAATCTCGTGCCAGTTTGTATCATCCAGACGGGCGTTGCTCGAGAACTCGGCGGTTCTCACACCAGCTGATCCCAGACTGTAAGCTAGCTTCAGTCGACGTCCACCTGATTCCAGCTGAAGTCCAATAAAATCATGGCTTCTCATTTCACTCACTGATTGGCTGATCGGGCCTGCGTACAGCAACAGGCCGGAACGCTCAATACTGGCGCCTGTTTTGAATGCAAAGCGAATGTGAAGCCTTGTACAGCCGCCGATAGCTGGCGCCCAGGCGTAGCCACCATCGTTGAAGTAAACTTGCGTCTGCTCACATCGCGGTCCAGAAAATCCGGCCTGACACTCGCAGGTTGTTGTCTGTGTGCCTGGCAACTCACTTAATACGATACAAAATGAGTACTTATAGAAATTAAGTAGTGCGCTGAATAGCCACAAGCAATTCTAGCACATGGATCTCGTCATCATCATGGAAGATTTATGTCTTCTGACCCACCAATCCGAGACGTTTAAAAAGACAGATTGCTTAAATCGACCAATCAAAAGTGAAAATGTGTGCACTACCTGCAGAATCCGCCATTTAGACAGGCGTTGGCATCAAGACACGAGGTGGGCGCTTGCGTGCTTGGAGTTGGATCATCTCCGTTGCACCAACAATCGATAGAGGGTCTGACTTGTGGACCGAATGTGCTGGCGCCAGGTACCAGCGGCAGTAGACCGCCGTAGCTGGCCACAGAACCCGTTGTCGGAGGAGTTGGAGCGGAGAGAAGACTTCTACAGCCCCGGCCACCGCAAGCTGACACCGAGGCAGCTTCTGAATCACACTTCAACACCGCGGGTCCTGACACACCGTGGATTGAAGTTGCAACCTCAGCCTGCAGGGTGTCATCGCTGCCTCTCAGAGCTGTGTTATACAGGTCCACGTCATTTATGAGTGTGTCAATTAGCCTAAAATAGGAGATTAATTAAGACTGACAGTCGGTCGTTTCCACTGGATGCAATTGAAGCAATTTACCTTCCGGGCACCTCGTAGGGCGATGCGTGTATTCCGACAAAGACATCGAAGTTGTTGCCGAGAGATTTAACTGGAAACATGGTGATGTATTCTTCGCTGACTCCCAACTGTTTCGACATGGCTGACACCAGCCGATCCCTCGGCGTCGGCTAAAATTAGATACAACATGGCTACTTACATTACATCAGTAGGCACAGCATACTAAAATAGGAGTTTAGTAGGAGATCACCTCGAGTGGACTTGACTGTCTGACAAACCACAACAGAGTGGCTTTTGAGATGCGAAAAAGAAGACCGTTCATGAGACCGCTTCCAGGAAGCCAGTGCACATAAACTTGAAGCTGGCTCGTCGCAGTTTTGAGGGTTGGCTGGAACTTTGTGGTGACCTCGGCTTTCAACCATCTTTCACCAGGCGGAGAAGCTGTTATCAAGTAGAGAAGGCCTTCATCGTTTACTCTAGGGAAAGAATACGTTTTCTCAAACAGAGTAACAGCACTAATATTCAGTAGATGGCCAGAGATAGTAGCACACGCCACGACGTTGTGGCATCATACAGTCTCACATGACAAATTCAGAACTTTTCGGGCGATTGGCTTTAAAACGCGCCTACTCACAAACGTTCAGTAGTATACAGGTCTATTACTGTAACATCCATGGCCAAAATTGCAAAATTCATTACGCTAGTATTTATTCGATTCCATAATTTTAACAACACAAGTAAAGGCAACAGCCATGATTCCAGTACTACTTTTTAACTGGTATTTATTCTGAGATTATTTCTATCTTTTCCACCTGTTAGATTAAATGTTATACTAACAATTAATCAGTAGCCTTTTTTAAAAAAAGTCGACAAAATTGGAATCTGCGTCAACTCACGCGAAAAGGAGGTTGTTGTCGTCCTCCGGGGTAAAACTGAACACGCGAGTGCTGCGGTCCGTGGGGAACTGTTCTCCAACCGGCATGTAAGCTATCGGCAAATTGGGTACCGCGCCGGTGTCTTTAAGAGGTCAAAGAAGAACTTAAACCAGCTCCGTGGAAAGTAACTCTGTGAACAAAATTAAAACGAGGCAAGCGGACTTACATGGCCAATTCCAAACACCTACAATTGAAAAAAATGAGGATAAGGATCACAAGGGCATTTATAAGACGCAGCCAATAAAATGTGAACGTCTAGGACACAGAATGAGCCGAAATATGTGTCCTTTATCAACTCTTTTTTCATTGGTTCATTTGGTTTGATTCCATCCAATCCTATCACGCCAAACTAAGAAAGTGAATTTACTTGATGGGACGTAAACAGCCAAGCTGCCCTGGCCATTCGATGGAGCTGACGGATTATCCGTTGTCACGGTTACCGTCAGTGTTGAGGTCGCTGTTCTGCCCAATCGTGAGAGTGCCGCAACGATTGGCACAGCAAAAGTGGACGAACCTTCCTCCTCGCGGTTAAGAGCAGTTCGCAGCTCAAGGTCAAACTTTCCTTGTTCCTGATTTGTTAGTTTAAACAGTTTCAAAATCTGCGCTGATTGGAGGCCAATGCTGTAGATTATTGAAGCACTTTGATCCGGGTAATCCAGATCGCTAAAAGCAACAAATATTTGGTAAATCCAAGCCAATTAAATAATCATGCTCCGAATATAGTGAAATCCACGCTAATTTCTAACTCATCGTCTGAGTTCACTACCATGGCTACCACGCTTTTTACGAAAGTATGTAAGCGGTTATTACACTGCCTGAATGCCCTTCGGAGTTACGGGCGTGTCAGCAGGCGACTTGTCAGCGACGTGATAGCCCTGTTGGGCGTCGCTAGGAATCATTGGGCCCTTGGTGATGACCGTGAGCGTCATGGTAGTTGTCACAGTGAGCGAAGTCTCCCTCGTGTCGCTGACACTGACGATGATTGGCCAGCGAACTCGACCATCTGAGGTGCTGGGGAGGGTCGGCGAGGGAACAGGAGATGTCGCGGGATCCTTAAGCAGATCCAGGAGGGTGTCTCTGGACAAACGCGAGATCAACTGAACGCGCGCCTTTAAACGCAAACGAGAGGAAAATAATGTGAAAGTGCACCGGTTCAAATCTCGTCGACTTCTTGTCCAATTACTCGCGGGCAAACGCATTCGCCCAATGGGCTTTCAGGTCAGCTCGCCCATCCCTGTGAACTTTCATTGGCTAGTAGGCGTGTGCGCTGAATTGCAGTGTCATTTGAAGTGGTTGGATTAGAGGTTGACACGCATAAACCACTAAGCACTTTACCTCATGTTTCTTTGCTGACCAGCTGTCAATTCTCACCTCGAAGCGCCAATTGGCCGAGACCACGGCGCCTTTTAAACACGCACACTCTGTGTGCACTCTGATTGGTCAAAAGCGGGGGGCTGTGATCTGTTGGTGTTATCACCACGGCGACTTGTGTGCTATAAACGGATCTGTGCTGATCCAGCCTACGACCATTGTCACGAGTTAACTACTGATTGCGGTGATGATGCTGTAAAGAAGTCTAGTGACTCAAATTTCTCGCACGCAAAACTCGTATTTCTTGGTTCGACGGAATCTTGAGAGTCGCGTGCAACCCTTCGGGCGTACGTATCATAGAAGGGTTCCAACGCCCGCGCGAAAACCCATGACTCGACGCACTCGCGACTTGTCGTGCACGTGATTATCGCCAATTCGTCCTCACTAAGCATTAAACTAACGCCTAGTGCTTATGACTTGAATCGGCAACAACTTGGACACGCGTCTGACGCCACCACTGGCGTCGGCAGCCACACAAAACTACAATCGATTTTTCCCTGTCTATGGGAATGTCTGTGGTTTTGGCGTTGGACGCTAAATGCCTTCCTCGACTGGTAGTAACCCGTAGCCCGTGTTTGCCGACCTCGTCAGCGTGTGTGTGTGTGTGTGTGTGTGTCAAGTTGGTGTGGTTTTGCTCCAAACCTTCACACGACGTGTGGCGCTGCGCGTACAGCGGTTAGTCACTGCCCACCACCGACTGTCACCCCCACTGCGCCGAGTCACGCTGAGCGACGTGTTTTGAGCGCGGCAAGTGTCGAATGCTCGCTGCCTCCTTCCTTCCTTCGTCGTGTTGTTCGTGGCATCAGGCTAGTGGAACAGGGAATTGTGACGTAAACAGGCAATAAACACACGGGTTATTTGTGTGTGTGGGTGTGTGATGTTTTTGTTGATAATACTGCGTTTCTCATCCACTTCCCAGCTAGAATTTTGTCATCGTAAACAGTTTGCTTGAGTGAAGGGTTCCGATTTTGAAGGGGGACAACGCGCTCCTATCAAATTTTTCTTTTTTGTCAAGTGTCGTGTAGTCTAGTGACCTGCCAGCGCAAAGCACGTCGCTGACAACACCCCTCAACGCTGAATATCCTGATTTGACCTTCTGGATGCCTTGAAGCAATTGCCAGTTTCTAGGGCACGTGTGTGCCTGTCAAATCCCGCCTTCCCCCCTCCCCACTTCCACTCCCTATCTTGTCTGAAGCTCTAGTTAGCTGAACTCAAGTCGTGAGTACAGTGTGAGCCCAAGGAACGTGGTGTAGCAAAAGCACTTAACGGACCGCTTCCACGCCAATCGATTTTTTCGCCTTTTTGATCCAGCTATGTGTGTGATTTGGATGTGGCACAAGTGAGATGTTTCGTGGCTGTGAGGATAGGCCTCTGGCGCTTGGTGAAGTGCTGTGTGTGTTCATGCGATACCGAGGGAAGAAGTTAGAAGCAGCGGATTGAAGCGAACGGAATCGGAAAAAAGGCGTCAAATCCGACTCAAAGGACGC